AAATGGCTGTACCTTGTTTGTGATCTTGATACGGTCCAGGATATAAAGGAATGCAGCCGCAAGATGCTCACTGGTGTGTCTGGAGGGGACACGATGAAAGCCAATAAGATCTGCACGAAGTCGAAGCTGCAGCTGAAGTCCGTTACCACGATCTTCAAGAACAAGCTGCAGCCAATGTGCAGTAACTGCCATGTACGGCGATAAGAATGGGTCAGTCCACATATCCATTGTGAAGGATATGCTGCCAACTGCATTCTATAATTAGGAATTAGAGCAGAATTTTTTTGTAATTTTTTCGCCACTTACCTTCATATCCTGGCTAAGCTCCTTGAGATACTCTTCAAAAACCTCACCAACTCGTGTTCGGATAGTGGTCCGCCCAGGAATATCTTTCTCATGCAGCTCAGAACGAAGCAAAAGAAAGATATTGCGAAGCTGTGGATTTTCAATGACGCGTAAAGGCTGCAAATATTTATTCAGATTTAAAGCACAATAAAATGTAAATTTAAAGCACACCTGATCGTCAGCAACAATCCACTCAGTAATGTAATCCACAAATAGCTCCTTGGTGAACTGTGGCCGGCTGTTATCTGCTTGTGCAACATCTGGTTGTCCACGTTGACGTTGCCTCCAGGCTTCAACTTGTGCCGTAGCACACTTCGCTGTGATTTTGACTTGCGCCTTATCGCACGCCTCCACCCACTCATCAAGATGAGCATCTCGGAAGTGCTTTCAGGGGTTGTCTGTGCCTGCAGTAGTCCAGGTGGACACATGGTGATGAGGATTCTGTTCATGCATAAACCTGGCGAGTTTTTTTTTTAGAAATAAGTGCAAAGAAATAGCTGAAAGAAATTCATACAAGCAAAACTTGCATTTCTTGCGTCCATTCTCATCTGTCTCAATAAAGGGCCAGACATCCTTAGCTTGCTTGCCTTGTCTGTTGCCTGCAGGCCCATGAGGTGATTTCTGACGCTGACCGGCAACAGGTGAATTGGGAGGGCCTGCTGGCTTGCGAGTTGGGGTGGCAGGAGCAGGCAGGAGATCACGTGAAGAGCCTGCAGCTGGCGTTGGACTAGTAGGCGAGTCTTCAGAGTTGTCTGCAATATCAATGTTGATATATTCACGACTATCAGCAACTGGAACAGATCTACAAAGATCCAAACATTAGAGCATAGCAATTTGCAGTATTGGTCACCACGCACTTGTCTATCGAGCTCTCCCCACTTGGATCGTGCTGGTGATTGGCACGACCTCTCCGGGGCGACGCGATGTCATGCACCATAATTATAAGTATAGGAAAACTAAAGGAATAATAGGTATTCAAATAAAAAAGAAACCGCTTACTCAGAGCTGCAAAGTAAGCATAGACACTTAAGCTTACTAAAAGTGAATCAATGACTAATAATATGACTCAGCTTCTTAGTAATCTAGAAACTATGCTTAGTAAAGGTCTATGCTCAACAGCTATGAATTACCAAAATATAGTAATACTCTAACAAACATTAGTAATAGCTTACCAATACATTAGTAAAACAGACAGAAGGCTGACTAATACAGACAAAATGCTTATTAATAAAAGTAGAAGTAGCTTAGTAATTACAGTAGAATAGAAGAGCCAGTTTTGCTATTGGCTAAGGAACAACAGGCTGAAAGGTATAAATAGGAGAGGTTCTCTGGGACACAAACACACCAACCCACCAAGCACCACACACACTGTCAAGGATTTAGCTAGCAGCAAACCTGCAGTTAATCCCCTGAGCTCTTTAGCTCTCAGAGAATAGACTCCTTTCTTTACAGCCTAGGAAATTCCTTAAGCACAGTAGAGCCTCTGACTTTCAAATAACCTGAAGGGAAACGCCCTTGGTATAGTGCACGAGTTCACTATTTGACTAACCCTAGACTGCGAGAGCTAGTGGCGTCATTATTTGAAACTGTGGTACGTCTCCTGTAGAGCTTACAGTAATTAGACTAGCAGTAAAGAGATTAATTCTATTCTTGATCTTCAACTCTAAATTGGAAGCTTCAGACTGCTTCAAGTTATACAAATCCTCTAAGGACATTAAATTGTCCTTACTAGCCAAAGCTTACTAAGTTAACCAAGACATTAACTTGTCTTTGTTACCCTCTTATCTTACTTATCTAAAACCCTATTCTACTAACCCAAGTAGCTAGTCCTTAAGCTACTAACC